CCCCCCCCCCCCCCCCACTCTTTGTCAGTGATACAGCTGAAGAAAAATACTGGACATCCAAAAAAGCCCTTTCATATCTTTTTTTTTTTTTTGCTCTTTGTCTCATGTAGAAATTAATTTACAGATCACAATGTGATGAGTTAAACAACATTGTACTAAAGAACACTCTACTCATGTGCTTATATATATATATATTTTTTTTTTTTCCCCCTTCAGCATTGATAAAATCTCTAAAGTCACTTCTCCGGTGCTGGTGATCCATGGTACGGAGGATGAGGTGATTGATTTCTCCCATGGGCTGGCCCTGTACGAACGTTGCCAGCGGCCCGTGGAGCCGCTGTGGGTGGAGGGTGCGGGACACAACGACGTAGAGCTGTATGGACAGTACCTGGAGCGCTTGAAACAGTTTGTGGCTCACGAAATTGTAAACTTATAGATGGACCTCAAGATCAGGACTCGCCTTACTTGATGAACATACCCCTGGTGCCCAGCAGGCGACTGTGAACTTGACAGCAATTATTCTAATTAAGTTGCACTTCTCCATGCTATAGAGAAAATAGGAGATGTGTCTTTACTGCCTTTCTTAGGGGTGTGTTTGTGTAACTGTACTTCTATAGACGTGGGCGGAGGACTTGGATGTTTCTGTGACCCGACTCTGTCTCTTGATAGTATGTACTAAAGTATCAAACCCATTCCATTTAAGTCCAGTTTTTGTTTTGCTGTATGCATGTGATCATATACACAATGGAGTACTGTACAAATGCAACATTCTGACACAAATAATTGCCATACAGGTGATGCCAAATAATATATTAAACTTTAATACATTACTTTGTATGTACATGTTTCTCAAAACATGCCTGCTTAAGCACAATGTTTGCAATCTGTATGACATTTTGGTATGTTTATTTTTCTCCATGTCCTCACACTTGTCTGTGTTTTGCTCTTAAGTGTATTCTTTAAAACAATGCTGGCCAATATGACAGTAATATCTGTTTTAACTTTCAAATAAATACGCTTTTCAAAATACACTTTATAATTTTGGCTTACAATAGCTCAAAGTATACACACACCTGCTCAAACAGAGCAATGGCGATATTAGTAACAGTCCATTTGTTATCTGCTTATTGCACTTTCTTAATGGAAATCCATCAGACCTCTTGATTACACGTATACTGGAATTAACACTTGTTTATGTTTGGAGTCATTGCTTTGCCATTTAGTCAAATATAATTTATACCATCTTGTGTCTCGGATGAAATGCACACAACTTTTGTTGTTGTCTTGCGCCATGATAAGGCTGTTACTTTAGACACTGCTGCTGAATTCAGGCAGCGACATTTAGTTTCTCTTTAGAGAACCACTGGACACGGTGAGGAGAGTTTGGAAGGATGTGATTTAATGTCTGTACATGGAAAATGAATGATGCTCTAAAGTAGATCTTAGTACTTCTCAAATGTAAAAGAAAACTTTCACCCTGTTCCACACTTTGTAAATAACCTTAGTTTGAATGGGTTTTTTATTTCCTGTACTATGAAACTGGTGATAATGTTATTACCACTGTAAATTGATTTATTATTATATTATGTATGGCACAAAATAGAATTTAACTGGTCAGACTGAAGCACAAACTGACGTGCTTCAGTTTTTCCAGATGTGTTGTTTTTCTGTTTTTCTAAACACCCATTGTAAAAGAAAATTGCTATACTGTATGTAATTATGATCTTAAATAGCTATAATACAAAATTGGAAAATAAAGATGTATTTCAGAGACTAAAGAGCTTAAAGAATTAAAATCCAATTGTGGTAGTCTTGACTCAGATTTTATTTTATTTTTTCTTATGTGTGCTGATCTGCAACATGTAATTTAAAGCTACCTCTTGTGGTCATAAATCAGCAACATTTTCTTTCAGAATTATGTTTTTAATCCAAACACCCCATGTTTACAGTCCTATCTGTTTAGGAACCATGGTGGTTTCTGTTAGGATCACGTTATGGTCTTTAACTTTTTATGATTGGAATTTGATAAAGATCTAAGTAAATCTCAGACAGAACTAGAGCTGTCTTTTTTCTCATCCTTCAGAGTGGCATGCATTTGCATGAATTGCTTTTAATATTGATCCTAACCTTTCATATGTATTCGCTTTTCAAGACCATTTTAACTGCGCAGAGGTCAACTGCACCCCCTGGGTTCAATGACCATTAAAGCATGGGGCTTTGAACATGATGTTAAGAACACATGTGACCCATTCTTTTTAGGGTGGGGTAATGTTTAAAGACAAGGCACTTAAATGGATTCAAAGGATGAGAACAGAAAACAGGACAAGACAATAAAGATGTGTTTCTATATAGAGACTTTTTATAAAATGTCACCAAATAATTTAAGTTTATTAATGTTGTTAAATGGTTATGGACGTTACAGTGAGAATTAGGCTACATATTGTCATCATGTAGTTAAAACCCTTTCCTGCTTCCTACAAGTGTCAATTCATGAACAAGTACAGAATCTAACAATGTTAGATGTTATTTTTTTTTAAACTCCATATGCAGCCTGCGTGTCATGCGCACACCCGAGGATCCCTATTGGACTGCAGTGATGCTCACTCATAACTTTTGTATTATTTTATTGTATTGTTTAAAATGTATTACAAGTGTCAATTCATGAACAAGTACAGAATCTAACAATGTTAGATGTTATTTTTTTTTAAACTCCATATGCAGCCTGCGTGTCATGCGCACACCCGAGGATCCCTATTGGACTGCAGTGATGCTCACTCATAACTTTTGTATGAGGCAGACAAGTAGTGGTCTTCCTCTAGGGGTCGCATGGGGGCTCAGGAAGGCGAATCCTCCATTGAGTCGCATTCAAAATCTCAAGGACGAGTTTAATCGTATTTGAGACATTTGTACATTAAAAAGTGTATTGTTTAAAATGTATTAAATTCAAAGATTCGTGCCTGCCATGCAGATGAAAATCTGCCACATCAAGCTCTACTAACTAATAAAAAAAAAATGATTTAATCAGTAATCACAAACGACTGTGATTGGTCAATTCTTGCCAGCGTTGAGAAAAGAAGCAAGCAAAGTCTGACTCATTTCCCGAATCGATTCCTAAGTTCACTTCAAAGAACTCAACGATTCCATGATTCCTTACGTCCGAACGTTATTACGTAATAACGTGGTCCCTACACCTTAGCGTGGCATATTACTTGCTCTAAAACAGCCAAAAAACATAGGCAGGCATATTTTTCTATTTATTATGCGTTTTTAGATTTTTGAGCCACAATATATATATATAATGTATATTTACGTGAACAATATTAAACGTCATTGCGTCAATATTAAACGTCAATATTAAACGTCATTGCGCTTCCAAAACCGAATCAGTTCCCGACCAGATTGTTAATCGGTTCATTTCAAAGATCCGACTCACAAGAACGATTCGTTCACGAATCGGACATCACTAGACAAAAGCAAGACTTTTCAAACGACAAGACCCCCTGTGTGCTTCTTCAGCACCGTATGCGACCATAAGCTTCACAATAAATTAAATTCATAGTTTCAAAAGCAGTTTAATTTGAAAACCCTCATCCTATCTCTTGAACGGTAAGCCCCGCCCACCCGAGAACCCCTTGTCGTCATGCTAATGGCTCTTCCACACGTTAATTCTGCTCCCTCATCCTCAATACACGCCCCTAATTTCACTTCCTCCGCGAGCCGCGCCTGGGACGGGGCTGGCTGATTTCAGCCCAGGAAAGAAAGCATGTAAAAGAAGATTAAAACACATTTAGTGCGGTCTCCCTGTCAGATAGCCCCTTGAGTTGCGTGCGGCTCTCTACGGTTGATAGAGAAAGGAGCGGACGAGCCAAGCAAGTGACAGTGAAAAGAGATCGAAAGGTAAGAGATCTCCACCTCTGTCTCCCTGTATTAGGACCCCTACTTTAGACCTCTACTGTGAAGGTCTTTCAACGGATTTTCGGTCGTGCATTGTGCGTTTACGGAATCTGTTGGAAGATCCGAGTCATGATTGAATGGAGGAATGAAGTTACGCGTGCAACTGAAGTTGATGAAACTTTGTGGCATTGTGTAAACTTTAGAGGGGGCGCGATGTAGCTATTCTATTGAAACAGTTTTTGAGCATAGCTGAAATTACAAATGATGCATTTAAATTTAAATATGGCAATTAAAAGTGTGTCATATTCTTATATTATAACATTTTCCTGTAGAAGAAAAAGATAATCTCTATGCAGGGGCGGTTCTAGACCACAGTAACGGGGGGGGGGGCACTTGTGCTTTTAGGGGGCACAATTTTAAAATTAATCTTAGCCTACATTAAGTATCATTCATTCAGTAATTTTTCACCAGTCACATTTTCATCTAAAGAGATATTCTTTATAAAAGTTAAGAGTCAGCCACGCCTACCTAAAACGGCTTGTTCTAACACGCCCCCACATATCTACATCACTATGTGGAAATATTAGCATAATGCCCAAATGGGCACGCAAAGAAAGAAGGCGTGGTTTCAGGAACAGCAGTAGTGATGGGAAGTTCGGATCATTTTACCCACTCGGACCTTTGAGTCTCGTTCAGCAAAATGAACAAATCTTTTTTTGATTCATTTCGTTCATTTTAGCAAAATATAATTAAAATGTTACGTGTTGCTTCCCTAACACGTCTACTACTTACGCAAACGTTGATCACACTACAAACAATACAAAACTGCTATAAGAAACAGAAAAGATTAATTCATTGTTCTATAAGGCTACTTTTTGATAACATTTTGGATAATTGTTAAGACGGTGCTCCTAAAATTTTGAACGTGCTCCTAAATTTTTTAAGTTAAAAAAAGTTAAAAAAGAAAAGTAAGCGTAGAGCCCTGGGCTTTGTTGAAAACTACGTGTTTGAGAGAGGCGGGGCATAGAGGACCTACAATAATGTACAGTATTTGAAAAATAATGTGTTTTTTGAACATTAAAGCATGTCAACATATTCTGTTACACCAAATACACAAAATAATGATCTTTAAAATAGCATCATATTCCAAAATATATCGTGAAATATCTCGATTCTCAAATATGTGTAAGTAAATGCATTTTGCACCTTTATAGATTGTGTTGATCTATAATGGGCGATGGGCAAAGTAGCCTAATAGTGTAATCTATTAACTTTGCATAAAAATCTTTTTACTTAAGTACCAGATATGGGTGTGATACCATAAAATATTTTTAACACAACTGACTTTGTATGTAATGTGAATTTAATAAAAACATTGTAAGTTACTAATTAGCCTGTAACACTTTCATTGTACAAAAAGAGAGCAAAGAACCTTTACATTATCAAATAACATTTTCACTTAAGTCCTGCGAGTTCAAGCACTCTCAAAAACTCCCATAATAATCTCTAAATCTGTTTACACTGTGAAATTAATATCTTACTTACATTCGTACATCTTCACTTTGTTGTTTCTGATGAGAGAATTAGCCAGAGAATTTAGTCAGCCAGCGTGTGCAGTGGCGAAACAGCGTGTTTCAGCGGTGACTCATCTGAATGCCTCTGATTGGTCCTTGCAGTCATAAGCTCAACAGAAACGTATGGGATTGGTTATAATGCGCAGTGCTTTAAAAACGCGTCTGTCTCTGGCTCTGTGCCAGAGACAAGGAGACAGAGAAAAAGGACTGAATGAGCTATAATCTATCAAATATAACAACCATGAATGAAATCAAGTCATTTTGAGGCAGAAAGAACAGTTCACTCAATAAGTAGAGTCTGTAATAATTTTTTGGTAAGTGTAAAACCGCATTTTATGGGTTTTATTGGTCATTTAAAGGTATTTCAACAGGTAAAAAGGTTTCATAAATCATATTTCTTATATCTTATATTTATTTATCATTTTACTAGTAGACTACACAACCTCTCTGGATGACTGCAAATAAAGCCTGTAAGTTTCTGTCCATAGCCTGCCATTGTCCATTCACCCCCTCAGACAAGGGAAATTCATTACTCACCCCCCTTAAAAATGTGATTTCATGTGAATGTCCTCCCCAATTATAGTGATTGCTATGCCCCTGCGTTTATGGCTGAGGAGCTACAGATGGTCAGATCAGGATCTGGTGATATTGCAATCTTTGTATTGATCAAAGCAAGAATAAAATTAGTTTAATAGTATAATAGTAAATGAGCTGTGGTTCAACAGATGCTGGGGTCAGAGTGGTTGTTCTATTCTCCCCTAATGTTTAAAAGATTAGAAAAGTTTTTGTGACTGATTTTTGCCCTGGAGAATCTTGAGTTTATAAAATCATTTGTAACGGTTTGGTACAAATGAAGCCAACTCTCTCTGTGTGGAACTTCTAAGTCTCTTTTAATGATAATTACAGAATTTGGCTGAGGTGATTATTGGTAAGCAAATATTTGTGTGACAGGGTTTTATAGGGAGAGTTTCTTTATATGGCCCATGTCTGTTGTTTTGTGGCACGAAGGGGCCATGGGTTGAACGACTGAGCACTTTTTTTCTTGTAATTGGTGCCATGTGTTTTGTAAATAACTTGAAAATGTGAAAACCTACAGAAAGCTTGCACTTCAAAGCGCGTTGTAATGCCACTATGAAATTGAGTCCCAATCAAAATTAAGTCAGAACAGTTGTATGATTGGCCCACAAAACTTTGAGCTTTAATACTTTTGCCTGTCAAGGTGGTGTAGTGTAGTTTTGTAATATCAAATTTAGTTAAAGGGGTCATATGATGTTGCTAAAAATAACATTATTTT